GAGAGAGAGAGAGAGAGAGAGAGAGAGAGAGAGAGAGAGAGAGAGAGAGAGAGAGAGAAGAATGTGAGTGTGAACTCCAGGCCACGGACACTGGAAAGCCCCTGTAGACGGCCTTCTGGAGGAAATGAGAACTCGGAGAGAGAAGCCGGGGTCCTGGAGTGGAGAACTGAGCTCGTCTGTGCACAAGAGGGAACACAGAATGTTTGCAAGGGCAGCAAGGGTTATGGAGCAGGCGTCCTTTCTGGGTCTGAACCACCCGAGTGACAGCCCCCCAAATATCAGACCCCACTCAGCACCGGTCTTCCCGGCTCCGTCGCTCAGTACGTCGTCTTCTCCCGGAAGCCCCACGAACACCTCAAACGTAGCGAGCGCATCCTACACGGAGCATCTCATCATCCCTCTTCCGGGCCCTCTCCAAGGCACAGGGGAGGGAGGAGTCCTCGCCTCACCCGGTACTTGACCCAGAATTCCAAGGAGAGTTTTTCACCCACCTTCGTCCTCTAAGACGGCGGTTCTCAAGCTGCCTAACGCTGTGGCCCTTTAACACAGTTCCCCATGTCGTGGGGAGCCCCCCCCACGATAAAATTATTTTCATTGCTACTTCATAACTGTAATTTGCTACTACTGTGATGAATCATAACGTAAATATCTGATACCTCCTACGGTCTGAGGCGACTCCTGTGAAAAGAGCGTTCGACTCCCCGGAGGGGTCACGACCCACAGGTTGAGAACCACTGCGCTAATAAGCCACCTCCTGGGTCACTCTGAAATCTACTGTCCTGGTGTTCAGTGACTATTCTTGTTTTAACAAGTTTGCTACACACAAAGTTGATTGAAATGCAACCCCAACTTATTGCTTCATACATAGTTCTGAAGGTCAGAAGTCCTAAAAATCCAAGGTGTCCACAGAGCTGAGTGCTTTTTTTTGGGGGGGGGGGGGGGGGCTCTTAAAAGGAGAATCTTTTTCCTGTCGTCTGGAGCTTCTCCAAGCCACCTACCTCTGAGTTCTCCAGGCGGTGGCCTCTTCCTCTGTCTTCAAAGCCAGCAGCAGCATGGCAACTTCAAATCTCCCTTTGAACTTGACTGTCTTCCTGAGCTCACCGACAGAAAGAAAGACGACTTTCCCATCTCTAAACCCTGCCTTTGCCAAAGGAGAGTCTCTTCTGCTTTGCAAGGGAACTGATTCCTGGGTTCCAGGGCTTAGAAATGGTCCCCTACAGGGGTCCATTGTCTTGCCCACCAAATACCTCACCCCAGCCTCATTGCCACCCCCCCACCCCACCCCTGTATCCCACCCAGAGTCACGGACACATTCCCAGTTGCACAGGAAATATTCGATGGGAGTTATAAAGACAGAGGGGGGATGCTCTTCCTGTAGGCTTCCTGAGGAACAGGATGCCATTCTTTCTGTCTCCTACCCAGTTGGTCCCCTCTCCAAAGCATTCTTAGCCTTTCTATTTGCTAATTCCTCCAAAATATTATCTACTTTTTTTTTTTTTGAAGGAAGGTGGAGTTAAGTTGGTCTCATTCTAAAGACCAGGATGACCTGAAGTTCACTATGTAGTCCAAGCTTGCCTTGAACTCATGGTGGTCCTCCTGCCTCAGCCTGCCAGGTGCTGAGATGATAAGTAAACACCACCATACCCAGCCGGTTACCTCCTCTCCTCCATGACCCCCTCCCCCAGCACTTTCAACTTCACATCTCAGTGAAGGCGACACCTCCCCCAGGAAGCCTTCCAGGTTAGGGTTTTTTTTTTTCAGGTCTTTAGTGTCCCGGTGGGCTTCCATCATGAGCTGCTCTCATCTGAGCCTTTACCTCCTGTTTGTCTAATTGCCTGTTCACTGTTCCCTGCTCTGAGCTGTAAGGGCCTTCCCGGGCAAAACCAGGTCATTTCCTTGTTCTCTAAGTACCTAGTGTCCGAGGGTAATTCCTCAACTCACTCTCTTCCTGCCTCAATCAAGCTGGTGCTGGGTTCACCGGGGGTAATCCCACCACACCTGACAACGGAACCTGTTTTGGTTGAAAAAAAACGTTAACATCAAACCTGCTCGGGCTGGCTTTTTGCAGTCTTGGCCCAGGGTTCTACCTTCCTGTATTTGCTTCTTACTTTATGACTGGCTTGATTGGAGGGAGGTGCCAAGTCAGTGGCCATTTTTCTTGGGGAAGGGAGGGGACAAACACAGGACTTGTCACCTGGCCTCAGTTCTAGAAGGCGGCTGAGGACAAGGCCCTGGCAGAGAGAGAGCTGGGAGGCTGTCCAAAGCGGAGATCTAGAGAGAGGTTTCCCTGCCTGGGTCCCACGGGCCAGGCTGCACCTGCCATGTCCTCACTGGCCAGAGCCAGACTCCAGAGATGTCATAAGAATTCCAAGACAGACACACGAGGTAGCAGCTGGCCGTCCGTCATCCTAATGTGTGAGGAGGCGAGGCCAGTGTGCCGGGTTCTAGCAGGCATGCCTAACTGGGGGCCACATTCCTTCCCATCCACCCCCAGTCTCCTGTTCCCTCCCTCTACCCTCCCCTTTGTGCTTCCAAATGCCAGATCCACTCAAGGCAGGCAGTGCCACCAAACATCTAGCCCCAAAGAAGATCAAAAGTTCAAGGCTAGTTGGGCCAGCAAATGCCCCAGGGGGGTAAATGAACTTGCTGTCAATACTAAAGATCTGAGTTCGATCCCCAGGGCCCACGGAGTGGAAGAAAAAAAAACCAATTCCTACAAATTGTCCTCTGGCCTTCATGTGGGAGCTATGGCCTACACACACACACACACACACACACACACTATATATATATATATATATATATATATATATATAAAACAATGATCAAGGCTGGTCTGGGCAACTTAGTGAGATCCTGTTTTAAATGAAAACGAGCTGAGGATGTCGCTCAGTAACAGAGCACGTACCTAGATGTCTGAGGTCCTAGGTTCAGTCACAGATACTGGGGGGATGGGTGGATTAAGGGGTATCTAGTTTTTGTTGTTGAGTCGATGTGGGTTCACAAGGGTCCATGGAAAGAAGACACAGCACTTTTAAGGACATCTTAGCCTTTCCAGCTGCAGGGGGACCCAGCCTCTCACAGGACTGAGAGGCCTTCCCTTAGCCAAGGACATTTTCATTGTTCTCCAATTTACACTTTTAGCAAGTTGATTTCCATATCCCCAAAACATCGTGAGGAAGCTTCCAAAGGGACTAATGCCAAATGCAAATTATTAAGGAATATCACCGTGTGCCGGATTTTTCCCAACCAAGTTTTGCATAGGCTTTGTACCCTTGGGAAAGTCTCAGGCAAGATTTACACAGAGGACCTAAGAGAAACAAAGGTAACCGAGAAACGAAAGTTAAGGCTGGGTGCTCGGACTTTGGAGCCAGACCAGGTGTAGCTCGGCGGGAATGCTCCCATCAAGTTTTAATGATGGAGTTACAAAATAATAATCCATCACCAGGAGTGGACGTGACCCAAACCAGTTGTTAAGTATTGGATCCCGGGTTGATGGGTTCCTCCGCCGCTGATGCAATAAAAACCAAATCAACCCAACTTAATAAATCCAGACTTAATAAGAAGGGCAATGCAAAAGCAGAGCAGTCCCTGGTGGCCCTCAGGAAGGCAGGGGACAGAACCCGAGGGTACACATGGCAGAGCTCTGGGCCAGGTCCGGCAGGCGTGGTCCTGGGTATCTGCAAGGGAGGAGCAGCAGATGGCTGGCTGTCTGGAATGGGGCAGGGTCTGGGGAGAGAGAGGTGGAGGAGGGGATTGAGATGGAGTTTCCACCAAAACACACGTCTTTTTTTTTTTTTTCCAGACAGGGTTTCTCTGTGTAGTTTTGCGCCTTTCCTGGAACTCACTCTGTAGACCAGGCTGGCCTCGAACTCACAGAGCTCCACCTGCCTCTGCCTCCCAAGTGCTGGGATTAAAGGTGTGTGCCACCACCGCCCGGCTGAGCCACCAAGGCCCGGCCACATGTCATATTAAAAATACCAACTCGGGCCGGGCGGTGGTGGTGCACGCCTTTAATCCCAGCACTCGGGAGGCAGAGCCAGGCGGATGTCTGTGAGTTCGAGGCCAGCCTGGTCTACAGAGCGAGTTCCAGGAAAGGCGCAAAGCAACACAGAGAAACCTTGTCTCTAACAAAACAAACAAACAAACAAAAAAAAAAAAAAAAAAAAAAAAAAAAAAAAAAAAAAAAAAAAACCAACTCGGGGCTGGAGAGATGGCTCAGAGGTTAAGAGCACTGCTTGCCCTTCCAAAGGTCCTGAGTTCAATTCCCAGCAATCATATGGTGGTACACAACCATCTGTAATGAGATCTGGTGCCCTCTTCTGGCCTGCAGGGATATGTGCACTTTATACATAATAAATTTAAAAAAAAAATACCAATTCAATTTTTGTAGACTAATAGTTAAGTAAGTGTCTCTTTCTCTTTCTTATTCTTTAAAACTTAGAGTGAGAGGCTAGAGAAATAGCTCAGTAGTTTAAAAACACTGGCTGCTCTTCCAGAGGACGTGGGTTCAAGTCCCAGCACTCCCGTGGACATTCACAACTGTCTGTCTGGTTCTTCAAGATCTGATGCCTTCTTCTTGCCTCCCTGGACACTGAGTGCGCATATGCATATATGCAGTCAAAACACTCTAAAATAATGCCGGGCGGTGGTGGCGCACGCCTTTAATCCCAGCACTCGGGAGGCAGAGGCAGGCGGATCTCTGTGAGTTCGAGGCCAGCCTGGGCT